TTCTCATGATGTCAGTGAAAAAGGAGGAGGGTGGTGATATAAGGAAGACAATTTAGCATTTGTTAAAATAAGATAAATTCCAGTTGACTTTTTAGTTCCTAGACCAGAAACGGGAAGTGGATCCTAACAACAAGGAAAGGGCCTGGAAGGCTTGGGCAAGGACAGTGTGAGTGGACAGGGAAAACATTGGGGTAGCAGGTACTTTCCCTTCCCAGATTACTTATCTTTTGTCTGGAATTAGCCTCGTTCCTTTGCCCTATATCCCTGGGATATGTCCAGATATTTAGGAGCCTCCTGTGCACAGGTATCTAGGGGCTATGATCAAAGTTGTCCACATGTATTATACTCATACAAAGGAGTTTAGCGATAAAGTATCTGCAGGGAAAGCCTCATTATCAATTGACCCGTCCATGTTGTGATGTTCACACTATTGTACCTGAAAAATGAGGACTTCACTCAGAAGGGGCACATAGATAGCCATATCTGGGTTGGCATAGGACATAAGCCCTTCAAAGTCAACAAGAATTCTCTGAGCAGGATATCAATAACCCCCACTACCAATGCCCCAGTCATGAACCCATTGCTATTTCTGTGCTACCTGGGATTTGGGTATAGTATAGAATCCCTGTTGGCTGTGGGTTTGGATTGTGTTCACCTCACAGCCTTGGGAATATTCTTGCCTTCCTTAAGGCCATTCTAATTGCTTGGCTTCCCAGTTGATCATCTTCTTACCTTAGGTGAATCTTTTCTCATTTCTTCTCTTACTTTTGCATATAGTTTCATGGATGTGCAATCTTTTAGCTTTTCTTTTTTCTATGTCTGAAAGGTTGTGATAACAAAAATACCAATGGCTACAATTAACTTTTGTGAAGTTAATTATTTTAAATGAGCAAAGAAGACCAAGCACCTGAGAACAAAATGGCTCAGAAACTGGAATGCAAGCATTAGGCGCTGCTACAGTTGGTTGGTATTTGGCTCTTTTATTTTTCTCCTGAGAAACATAAGAGCCATTGAGCTCAGAGGACGTGAACATCCTGTACAGGAAATAGATGGCGTGTGGAGGAGGTGAAGGGGGCGCCCAGCAGTTGTTCTCTGAATCCTTCATTGAGCTTCACTTGAATATTTTGGAGAAGCGAGAAAAGGGCTGGAAAACAGAGGCTCTGCTTGGATGGCTTCCAACACACTTCACAAAGCTCAGGAAAAGCTCAGCTAAGCCACATGCATTTTCTGTTTTCCTGAAGAAAGACTCTGCTTGTTGGTCTGAGGGTTAAGGAGTCTCAGCAAGTTTTTTATAGAGACACTAAAACATTCTCTTCATATTTTCCTCCATCACTGAGAGAAGCCCAGGGGATAAAAATCACACTTACGTGCCTGCTAGGCCAGTTAGCTCTTGTGAGAGGTGTTGGGGCTGTGACTGTATCTTGGCGCCTTTAGCTCTCCAGCTTCCTGGGTATATTGCAAATACATGTGTGTGTGTGTGTTTGCACCTATGTGCACGCATATATATATATATATACACATATATATATATGTATATATATATATAAACTTCAGTTGACACTTGAAGACACTAAACTCAGAAAAGTGAATGTGTGCATTTCAGGATTTCTTACTTAGACTAGGTAATACAGAATGCCCTCTTTTCATCCTTACCAGTACATAACTAACTTTATCAGGAAGATGAAATAAACACCATGCAAATCATGAAGTATGGAGAGACACTAAAGTGAGGGGCAAGTAACAACAGTCCCCAGACTATCAGGAAGTAGATCTTTTTTGCTTTGCTCAAAAACATTTTTTAAAGAGAAAAACCAATGCATTTGCTATACTTTTGTGAGAATGATTTGGGATGTTCATTGGAGCAAAAAGGCCATTTATGAACCGACTTCAGCCTTGCTTTGGCCTGTCATAGCCCACTGTGTCTATCTCAGAACCCAAGATTTACACTGACTGAATAATAACAGAGAAGAAAACCTGTAGTCATTGCAATTTGCATTTGCCATTGCAATTTTCCTTTATCTGCTGAATTTAAATTAATTGTTCTTTTCTAGAAAAATACATTTATTTTTGGCTTTTGCACTTATGCTTCTTCACAGAAGACTCACTACTATCTTTAAGACATTTCACCTGGCTCACAAATTTGTAATTTTCTCATTTATAATTAACACTTACTTATATTGTCATTTTCCTTAAATTTCAGCCATAAAAAGCACATATAATTACACTAAATGGAGACACTGGAATATTGTTGTATCAGAAGTATCTAACAGCATTACCAGATTTAGAATGTCAGAATATTCCTTTTTTTTCCAGGTTTCCATTTCTATTCTTGTAGGAATGGACATCAGACTCTTTTGGTTTTGCTTTTGGTTATCTAATTATAATTTATGATTAGGTTATGAATCAACTGGTTAAAGGAGTATGAGGATAGATTCAGAAGTGAATAATGAAATTATGCTCATGCCAATAAGAAAAATATGCAAAGTATCTTCTTTTAAAGACCTTCAAGGAAAACTAGTATTTCATTTGAATTGTCATTTAATACCTTTCAAGAAAAGAATGTGGAGACCTAAGTTATTTTTTTATTTTCTAACTAAATAGAGCATATCACATTCAATGCCAAGTTATTGACCACTTGATGCAGGATGCTCTTTGGGAACTATGCAAATGTGTAAAAGTAAAAATCAGTTGTTTGAATGGAATCAATGACAGTGTTGATTCTACTCAGCCTGATGAAGCAGCGCCACCTACTGCACATAAGCTTTATTTTATGTGAGGGAATTCTTTAGCAGAAACTTCACAGAGATAAGCACAAAACACAGTCAAGTTTCAATCTGTTATCTTTCAAGATCTACATCTGGGTCAATTTAGTGAATTTTTTCCCCTAGTGTTTTTCTGGGTGTGTGTGTGTGTGTGTGTGTGTGTGTGTGTGTATTCATAGGCTCATTCATATATAGAACAACAATTAAATAAGAGAGTGAGAGAGAATGCAAGATAAAAATATGCAAATATGAAAAAATATAGGAATATAGGATATTCATTCTTAGTACCTATTGATGTGTCTTTTATTGTGAAAGTAAGTCCAATGTACCTGTTTACCCTTCTACATGAACCAAGGACATAAGAATTAACAGTTAACCAATGCTTGTTTAAATAGAACCATTGTTTACATTTTATCCTAGCTACTTAGAAGTGTATTCTTTATTAAATGATTATAGATTAATAGGCCTTCACTGAATTCTCCTTTCTCTGATGTTTTTTATTCCTATAATAACACTTAAGTCCACAATATTTTCAAAATAATAATTACTAGTGTTACTGGTGTATTTTACAGTATAGCATTACATAGGCATTTACATAGCATATTAATAAGAGTGTGTTTTTTTATTACATTGGGGTCATTAATTATCGTTTCAACCATTTTGGTTTATTTCATCTAGTCTATTACACCACAAAATAAAATAAATAAATGACAGTATACATGGTACAATAGTGATTAGGATTTTTTATTGTTCCCTATTACTCTTTCAAGGTCTTAACTGGTTCTTGACCACTCACATCATTCATAATGATGTTTACACTTTTATGCTGAGAAGATTATATCATTTCAGATCCTGCTTCATAATTAATTTTGTAGTGTGCACTCATTCATATTAAATCATATTTGCCATCCTCTGTTAATTTATTTATATATTAATAGGATTTTAGACAGTCCAGAATTTATAATATTTGACATTCACCAGGATTTTTATCTCCAAATAAACTGAAATAGAATATGAATTGCTTCTATATCACACTAATGTCATAATTCTATAATTGATTCATGTTAGAAATCTAGACATATAACTAGCACAGATAGTTTTAATTTTGCATCTCAATTTGGAGAAAAACTATTTGAATCCCAGATACTGTCAAAAACTTGACTTTTCTTATACTTGTCTATGTCTTTAAAAATGTTTATTATATATACTGTAACTTTGCTCATTCAATTAAAGCTTATCCACTGTGTGCTAGGCACTATACTAGCTTCTAGGGATTCAGTGATTAAAAAAATAAATTCCTAGTCTTCAGTGAGCTCCCTTTCATGCAGAGGAAAGCAGTATATGAGTAGGCCTATTTGCAGTAAGGAAAAAAAGCTATGGGCACAAAAGAAACTCACCTCAACCCAAACTTCAGGGAACAGGGAAGGGAAGTTGGGGAGAAATCAATGAAGACTTCCCAGGGAAGAGAAATCCTGATTTGAATTTTCACAGAAGACAAAATGTTTATCAGGAAGATAAATAGAGAAAAACGACTATTCTAGGAGAAGAGATAGAATTTGTAAACACTAACATGAGAGGGCAGGGTGAGTTTGGGAAAATACATGTTGTTCAACTTACTGAGACTCAAGACTCAGCAAATGAAGTTCTGAAAAAATGAGATTGGACAAATAGGTAGAGGTTAGATAGTGGAGACTCTTTCATGACTTTGGACTTTAGTGGTGTTATAAAAACACATAAGGAAGTGAGAAGTGAGTGATGGAATTGGAGTCAAACTGATCAGAAAGCTCCTTTTAGCCATACTGTTGAGAAGGCATTTCAGCAGAGTATACTAGAGAAAGAGAGGGGCCAGGGGGTGATCCCAGGGACAGCAATAAATGGTGATGGGAATGGGCAAAGGAGATTATTACAATAGTAGAGCTATTTTAATGACCAAATTAATGTGAAAGCTCTAGAAGGAGAAGCCCAGTCAAACTTCCGTTTCTAGTATGAGAGGAGTTTAGTGGCACCATCCACTATGATACAGCTCATCCACAGATTAGAGACGAGCAGAGAGGAGAGCTGATCTACTATAAATATGTTGAATGCATACATGTGGGGAGATCCAATGGACAGCTTCAAATCTAATTTTTGTGAATCCTTAAGAGTATGCAAAACTTCACTGCAAAAATAAATAAATTGGTTTTATATTCCAAGACGTTTCTTCATCTATCCCACTGTTCTCACACCCCCTCTCCCCAGAGGACTGGTATGAACAGTTGTACCCCCTCATCCTTACTCTGAAGGACTGCATGGGAGACGTGGTGAACAGAGCCAAGCAGTCCCTGACATTTGTGCTCCTGCAGGAACTTGCCTACAGCTTGCCCCAGTGTTTGATGCTGACGCTAAGAAGAGATATCGTCTTCAGTCAAGCAGTAGGTACCTGTTATTGTTAGTACAGAAAAGTGCTGAATTGTTAACAATCTATCCTTGATGAGAATAGAGGGCTTATTCAGGCAGTTTTATTTTTTACAAAGATCCTTTTCCTAAAGTTTTGGTAACCCATTTTTCTTATTCATAATAAATATGAACTAAATATCACATGGAAACTGTTTATGAGACTTTAAGTACTTGTTTTTGAAAAGGGATGGCCAAGTCTCTGAAAAGTACATTCTGCTTCACAGTCCATGGAGTCTGTGAAGAAAAGGGTTACCCATCGCTGTGTTATGCCCTGGTGTCTAGGTGCAGCGTAAGGGAGGGGGCCATTGCCTTGCACTGCAGGTGGTGAGCTAGGACCTGGCAAAGGGGATCTGTTCGCAACTCCCTATTTATAAGTTCCCCCATGACTCCTGGGACAAGATTTCACAGTGGTCTCTTATTTTCTTTGTAAGTTTTCAGGAACATGGCCTTTGCCTATGCCTAACACTCTTTATAATGCCGAGACGGCCAGCCTTTATCACAGTGGCTTTGCCAGTACCTTCCTTCTTCCCACCTGGCCTCCGCCCCTGCCCCCATGGTTGAGTTTTATAGACAGAGCACATGGTGGGGGAAAAGACAGAAGCCCTCTCTTTTCAAACATTCCAGGTATAGGGAATATTTTAACCAAACTGTTCCTTTCTCCCACTACTTCATGGATGGTCCAGTGGCAAATAGAGCTAACCAGGTGTCCCCGCATCATCTCTGCCTTATACATAACGTGTTCCTTCATTGTGTCCTTTTAATGACCCTATGAAATGAGTACTATTATCTCTATTCTACATGTGCAAAAAATAGTAATAATAAGATTTGGCAGTGCTAAATAACTTTTTATGGTTTCACTGTTAGAAATGGTAGACACAAAACTTGAAGACCTATCAACCTGACTCTAAAATCCACGTTGTTTCCCCTCTTGCAATATTGCCAAGACTTTTACACACAGAGATGCTAGATCAAATACTGTCAGCTTATTTTAATATGTATATATAAATATTTGTAGCTTTATTACATATGCTTGAGAATATAATCTGTGATGTCTCAAAAGTCTTAACATATTTTTAAATTAAACTAGTAAGTTTATTGACCACAGTAAACTTGGTAACCCATTTTGGTAATTTCTTCAATGCTTTTTTTTTTCTTTTTAAGCTTGCTGGATTGGTTTGTGGTTTTATCATCAAATTACAGACAAGTTTGCATGACCCCAGCTTTCTACAGCAGCTTCACACTGTGGGGCTGATAGTCCAATATGAAGGACTGTTAAGTACATACAGTAAGTATTGGTTTGGTACATGTTGAAAATAATGTTCCTGTTTATAAGGATACTTAACCTGTACATTTTTCAGGTAAACATAAAAATGAGAAGTGAACCTTTGTTTCACTAAATATTACAAAAATAATGTAACTTTGACTTTTTTTGCATTCATTCACCTTGTAACTTCTTTTTGCCTCCCATTATGTTTGGAAAATGGAATTATGGATTCTTTCAGAGTGGACTCCTGAGCAGCCATCTGGCTTTTTTAATATAAAAGGCTCTTTGCCAACATGGTTTCAGTGACTAGATTTTAAAGTCTCAGCCCTCTAATATCTAGAACTGCACTGTTCAATGCAGTAGGCTCGTGTGACTATTGAGTATTTGAAATGTGTCTAGTCCAAATCAATATGTACTAGATGTTCGCACCAGATTTCAAAGACTAGTAAAAATTATGTTAATAACTAATATTTTTATATTGATTTATAGAAATGGCATTTGGACATATTGGGTTAAATAGAACATGTTATTAAAATTAATTTTACCTTTTTTTAGTTTACACTTTTAAAAATACGAATACCAGAAAATTTTAAATTATATATGTGGCTCACATTATATTTCTATTGGAAAGTGCTGCTCTAAAATCCTAAGGATCTCCTTCTCAGGCTTTAGTTTTCAGTTATACAGTTATGCAGATACAGAACTAACATGAACCTGCATCAGTGATCCTCAATTCATCTCTATTATTTCTAGAAATTAAATATCAGTCCTGCCAATGGAAAGAAATCTGTACAATACTTTGTTTCATAAAGGAGTTAAAACCTCTCTCCAGCCTCCCAGCAAATGTGTACATTCTTCCTTCCCTCAAAGGGTACATTGACTTCTGAAGTCCATTGAAATGGTTCTTATTTCACTGATGAAAACCTTCGGCCTCCGAGGAAAAGCATTTAGAATGGATTCAGTTCATTCAGAAACTCATTCACTCAAATGCTAGAACAAATTCCAGCAGGGAAGTATAGTATAGCTAGTGACATTTTCCTCAAATAGTATGTTTGTAACAGGGCACTTTCTCCATTGTTTAGGTGATGAAATTGGAATGCTAGAGGACATGGCAGTTGGCATTTCCGATTTGAAGAAAGTAGCATTTAAAATAATTGAAGCCAAATCCAATGATGTCTTGCCAGTTATAACCGGAAGACGGTAAGTGGTATCCACTGTCTAAAGACCAAGCTTTGTTAGAAATGTTGTATTAACTTCTGTCAAAGGAACCAAGGAGAATTCAGATTAGGCTTAGGAATTTTTCTGTTGTTCTCTTTTTGTTTTTAGTAAGAAAAAAAGCATAGGTGATATGATAGGGAAATGTCTTGTAAAACTGCTCGAATTCTTATGAACGTTTGTAAATCGTAGTGAGGTGAGTATGGTAATGGTCTCCCATGAACTATAAGAAATTCAGAATAATACCTGCATGAGAAGAACATTTTTCTCTTTATTACTATCTAGTCTAAAGCTCTGGATGTTTCTCCTTTTGCGGGAATCATTCAGTTAATAGCGTCATAATTCTTGAGATGACTTTAAATTAAATTCAGTTAAAAGCAGCAACATTTTAGAAAAGATATATTTCTATATCAGGGGAATATACCTCCATTTTTCTTAATTATTTTTGACAATTCACTCTTAGATTGAGATTTCCGAGAAGAGTTTTAAATAAATAGCTTCGAAGGTCAGTGTATGATAAGCAAAATACCAGAAATAATTAAGAAAAATGATGGTGTGTAGAATAGACCTCCAATAGAAGAATTACATCCTATAGTACGGTTTTTTCAATCAGAAGTTCTCCAAATTTCAACCATTCTGGTGTTAGTACTTTTAAATGCTATCTGAGGACATTTATAGTTTGAAACATTCTCGGGTCACAGTGAAAGCACATGAATATACAAAAGGAGAGTACTTTTCATGCTAAAGAGAGAAGATAATAAGTATAAAAGTTCAAAGGAAACTTATTTTCCTGTCTATAGTAAACAATTATTTTAAATTTTGTGCAAAGCATGCCCAGAGCCACATGGTTGAATGAATAGTATAATAAATGTTTCTTATACACAAAGAAAAACCATATTCTCACAAAATTAAATATTTTTTCCTGGAAATTAAAACTTACTTTGTGATTCACTGGAAGAAAAAGGAATCAAATTGCTCATGCACACATCTGGAAAATAGTATAACTCTATATCAAAACTGATAATTTTATCACAATTTATAAGGGAAACTTTCCAGGCCAGTTGGCATATAGTCAGAGTGCAGGATAATTTTTCTGAGGCAGTTCTTTAAGTTGTATCTAAATTCAAAAGTTATCAGATGGATGGGGGTAGGAATCCTAGAATGACAAAATGAGCAACTTAGCAAATCCTCTCTCCAAAAGCAGTATCACAATTGGAAATAATCATTTAAAGCAACCATCTTAGGACTAAGGCAATAGATCAAATGCATGCAACAAATTTAGAAGTACTTATTCATGAACAACTAGTGACTATTGGGCAGCAACAGTGGGAGTCTGGCATTTTGCTGAGGGCTGCTCCCATCAACCCCAGCTGTTTCAGCACAGTTTTCCTAGTGCAAAGCCAGCCAATAACACCAGAAACTTCACTAATGGAGGGGCCAGCATGACTTGGATTGGAAAAATAGGAAAACACACTCCTGAAAGTTGTCAGAAATAGTGGTAATTTATAATAGATAACAAGTCTATTCACAATAGCATCAGAAAGAATAGTTAGGAATAAATTTAACATTAGTCTAAGAATTCTGTAAACAAAATATTGCTGAGAGAAATTGAAAAGATACAATAAATGCAGAGACAGTCTGTGTCCATAGATTAGAAGACTCAATATTGTTTAGATAAGAATTCTCCATAAATTGATCTATAGAATCAATGCTAATCACTATCTAAATCTCAGTAGTCTTTTTTTTTGTAGAAACAGGCAAGCTAAATCTAAAATTATATGTAAATGCAATAATACCTAAATACCCAGAATACCCAAAACAATTTTGTAAAAGAATAAAGTAGGAGGTATTATACTTTTTGGTTTTAAAACTTATTACTAAACTACAATAATCAAGACAATATAGTACTGGCTAAATAATGAGTTCTTAGACTATGACACAAAAATCAAGATCCATAAAAGAAAAACATAGAAAACAGGACTTCATCAAAATTATAAATTTGTAAGCACCAAAAGATAGCATTAAGCAAATGAAAAGACAACCCACAGATCAGAGGAAAATATATGCAAATTATATATATAGAAAAGGACTTATATCCAGAATAAAGAAAACTAACAACTCAATAATAACGACACAAAAAAAGCAATTTAAAAATGGGCAAAAGTTTGAATAGCTATTTAACTGAGTAAGATATAGGATTGATTTATATGCACAAGAAAATGTGCATTAGTATCATTAGTCATTAGGTATCATTAGTCATTAGGAGAATAAAATTAAAACCACAATTAGATATGCGTTCACTCTCTCTAGAATCCTCATAATCAAAAAGTCAAGTAATAACAAGTGTTGGTGAGGATGTAGAAAACCTGGAACCTTGGTGTATTGCTGGTGGGAATGTCACTTTGAAAATAAGTTGACAGTTTCTTAAAAAGTTAGATATAAAATCACCATATGACTCTTTGGCATACACCCAAGAGAAAATAAAGCATATGCCTAAACAAAACCTTACGCCTAAATGTTCATAGCAGCATATTCATGATAGCCCAAATCATAAAATAATAAAAGTGTCTGCCAACCAATAAATGTGTAGATAAAATATGCTTATATCTATACAAGAATGCTTTTCAGCTACTTAAAGGAACAAACTACTGTTACATGCTACAACATGGGTAACTTCAAAAACATTATGCTAAGTGACAAAAGCCAGACAGAAAAGACTGCATATTATGTGAATCCATTCAAAGGAAATATAAAGAAAAGGAAAATTTGTAGAGATAGAAAATGAATGGGTGGCTTCTTGGGGCTGGCTGTGGGAGTGGAATTGACTGCAAACAGGCACAAGATATTTTTAAGATGACTGAAATCTTCTAAAACTGGATCATGGTCATGATTGCACAATTCTCTAAATTAGCCAAAACTTGGAATTAATTACTTAAACAGATGAGTTTCTGTCTATTATATTTTAATAATGCTGATAAATGCTGTTATCACAAAGAAATTACATAATGCATTTCACCTTCAGAACAACTTTTAAACATGAACCAACTCACTGATGCTTCTCATACCCCTGAAACACTTGAAATAAACATCAGCCCTCTGTTAAGCAGGCTACTGCAAAGGCACTGAGAACAATTAAACAAAGAAAAATGTGTCCATCCATCTGAGGATAGTGTTAATATCCCTGCTTACAAGATTTCTGATATTTCCTGGTTCTCTAGTTCAGTTAGGAAGAAACAAGTCTCAGAGTCAATGATCCATACTGGTTATCATAGTGCTTATCAATGATGCTGTATTAGGAGATGTTATACTATGTTTCTTTCCCCAGTATATGTATTACAATCCCACCACTCTGTATAGTCCTGGAAACACATGGATTTTCCTAACTTCTGAGTAAAATTCTTTACTTTTCTATACTCAATTCACACTGCATCAGAAGATGTCAAATTTCAAAACATAAAAGCGGCTACTCTCATTGACCATACTTTATGAATCCTAATTTAAATTTTCAACAGTAAATGTTAGGGGTATTTTTAATAGAAATTTTCAATGAAAATGCTCCTGTGATATACTAATGTTTCAAAATGACCAGGACCTCCCCAAAATTAACACCTTAAATTATTAAACCATTACATTTCCATCAGCCTATTGTAAACAGTGAGATTCATCAATAATAATGACAATCAGATAAAAAACGTTCTAAATGATTTGTTTTATTTAGGCTTCACTATATTGAAACATCCAACATTAAATTACTTTTCTTATTCTTGGGACTTATTGAATTTTAAAAATAATTAAAACAAGAAAAAAATTGAGTCTGTCTATGCACATATCCATGGCTACACAAAAATAAACTAAGCATTCATCCTTTCATAAAAGATCTCAGAGTAAGGTAGAGAAATCAAGTACGTAAACAAATCTTATCATATTTTATGCCAAGTAATTTAAAGAGATGAATGAATGGGGAACAAATGAAGAGGAAAATAAGCATATAAAAATCCAAAATCTAAATCAGTGCTATAGTCCAACTCTTTTATTGTTTCTTTCCAATGAATCTAAAGTAGCATAAAACAAATGTAATAAATAATGTTTCTTCTCTTTTTCCTCTGCTTTCTTCAGTGAACATTATGTGGTAGAGGTCAAGCTTCCAGCTAGAATGTTTGAGTCGCTACCTCTGCAGATTAAAGAAGGACAGTTGCTTTATGTGTATCCAGTACTTTTTAATGTTGGCATCAATGAACAGCAAACTCTAGCTGAGAGGTAAGCTTCAGGTATAAGATTGTGCTTCAGTTGTTCTTTTTTCCTTTTTAAGGCATGCTGAGAAATCCCACATGTTTCTGCATATATAACTTAGATAAATTTATGAGTAACATTTTCCTTTTTATCTGTACCAACTTTTTAGATATAGCAAGGTAAATATTCATATTTAAGGAATTTAAAAGGTGACAAAAACATTGAGGAAAATATTAACGCCAATGCCAAAGTATTCACATAGATTTTCTTCATCTTTCCAAATACTTATGTGTATATCAAATTTCAAAATTTGCCATAATTATGTATATATCAACATTGTAAATAGCTAATTGTATCACAATTTTCTGGATCTAAAACACAATCTATTTTTCTTTTTATTTATTATAATAATTATTATTGGGTAATGTTAACACACTCAGTGAAACAAATGATTGCATGTGATCCCATGAGTTATTGTCAAAGACCATTTTTGTAAGCAGAGGACTTTTACATCTTACATAGTTTACATGTAGAGACTACAAAAAATATAGATAACAGTTAAAGTTCATGTAACACACTTTTAGAGAAAGAAGTTATCATCTTGCTCTAAGGCCTGCCTGGAAAGTTGCCCCACAAACAAAATTTTGGAGAATTTGATAGTCTTTGATATTTAAAATGCTTTCTTGTCTGTAATTCAGTCTCTAAATGTACCCTTCCCCCATAGGTAGCAGTTAAAAGTGGCTAACATATCCTTGCCATGGCTTATTCAGTATGCATTTTAGGTCTTTAATAATGTCTTTTATTAAACTAAAAATGCCATTACAGTTATAGTCCTCTTAAATTTCAACGATGGTCAAAATTTCAGTTATCTATTATTGTCAAACTATTTCTCTTCCTTTCCCTCTTATCCAAAAGATATTTCCTACACAACACAGGAAATAACTCATTTGCCAATTACAAAGTAGCTGACAGAATTTTATATTACATGTTTAGTTTTAAACTGTATGGAAACTATTAATTTATTTTTTTATAGTTTACATAAATCCAAATATAATTTTATTCACCTTTCTGTTCAAGAAGTTTTCTTTTATAATTAAGCACTTTCGAAAATCAGTATCTAAGATCAGATTATATTCTAGTTATCAATATATATTTGTCTCACAACAAAAGATATTACTGAATATAAATTATACAACTAGGGGGAGAAAACCCAACACTCAAAAATTGTCTCTTCTTTGGGACACTACAGTGCAGAATGTTTCGGGTTTCAGTTGATAAGTTAGGGCCTGTGAGTGTGACCTTTAGAGAGATGTGAGACTCTCCCATTTACAGACTTTTCAAAGACTAGGTAGTATTGTATCTTCAAGGCTTCTAGATTTGACTAATTTATATCATTCATGTCATTGTGACTATTTCAGTTGTCAATCACTTTGTTTAAAAGGTGTCCCTTCCTTTCCTTCCATTTCCCTTGCATATCAAAAATGCATTTTTTCACACATGGAAGCTATATAAGACACACAAGATTTGAACAGGAGTCAGAATGGCAAAGTAGGGAAAACCCTGAGAGAAGCAGGAAGGCTGAGTTTGAATAGCACTCTGACATCAGCCAACTATCAAATCACTTCCTCTCCATTCTCTGAACCTTCTTTTTCTGATTCTGAATTTTGAGCTTTACCAAGCAACATCTACATTTTAGGTATGCTATGTAATCTAGGTAAAATATTTTATTATAATGTATATCTATCCAAAATCAAAATGTCTGTGACTATTATTGAGTAAATACTAATTCTGTTAGCCTGCTTGGGCTGCTATAACAAAATACTATAAACTGGGTGGCTTAAACAACAGAAATTTATTTCTTTACAGTTCACGCTGGAAAGTGTAAGATCAAGATTCTAGCTGATTTGGTTACTAGTGAGGGTTCTTTTCCTGGCTTACAGATGACTGATCGATTGTATTCTCCCTATGTGCTCACATGACCTCTTCTTTGTACATGTGGACAGAGAGAGAAAAGGAACTCTCTGATGCTGCTTCTTGTAAGGACAGTAATTTGTTAGGATCAGAACCCACCTTCATAATCTCATTTAATATTAATCACCCCCTTAGAAGCCCTATCTCTAGATACAGCTACATTGGGCTTCTACATATGAATTTTAGGACAACACAAACATTCAGTCCATAACGCTAATATTACCCCTGCAAAGATAATATCTTTTAAAATACCAGTTGATTATAGTGTCTGAAATAGAAGAGTACATATCAGATTCTAGGGCAACTCCTCTAGATTTTCCTGGGTCTATATCCCTGCCTCCAAGTTCAACTTAGTGTAGTGGTTAAACATTGACTCTGCACCAGGAACTGCCTTGCCAAGCTGTGGAGAACAGAGAGAATGAATAGAAGCTAACAAGAACACGGGGTCTGATCCCTGTCCTGACAATCCAGACAATCCAGTAAGGAATACAAATCAACAAATATGGCCACACGTGGTGGCTCACGCCTGTAATCCTAGCACTCTGGGAGGCCGAGGCGAGCAGATCGTTTGAGCTCAGGAGTTTGAGACCAGCCTGAGCAAGAGCAAGACCCTATCTCTACTAAAAATAGAAAAAAATTGCTGGGCAACTTTATAGAAAAAAGTAGCCAGGTATCAATGGTGTGCACTTGTAGTCCCAGCTACTCGGGAGGCTGAGGCAGAAGGATTGCTTAGCCCAGAAGTTTGAGATTGCTGTGAGCTTGTCTGATGCCATGGCACTCTAGTCTAGGCAACAGAATGAGACTGTCTCAAAAAAAAAAAAAAAAATACAAATATGACATTACAGTTTGACTCGTGCAATACTCAATGATGTGGAAAGAACAGAAATATTGCATAAAAGAATGTGATTCACAGATAAGAGATGAGTCCGTGGGAAAGTCTCATGGAGGGGATGAGCCAGGCTTAGCCAGAATGGGTATAGGTATAGCATGTGACAAGTCCCAAAGTCATTAAAATACATTTTGTAAGGGGGAAGAATATAAATATATACCCATAAGGGGTTTTGGAAGCCTTTGTGGAAAAGTTAGATGCTAAACTAAGGAGACTGACTTTTTCTCCTCATAGGGAGAGGAAAAGCATTGAAGTCCAGTGAGCTGATAAACATGTGTGTTCGATTAAATTTTGAACATTTCATTTATTGCACAGTGCAATGCCTAGTTTAACATAGTTGATGTTAAATAAATATTTGTTGAATAAATGAATGTGTGATCTGACCATGGTATAAAGGGTAGATAGGAAGGGAAGCAAACTATAGACATAGTTCAGATATATTTGGGAAGCTTCAAGATAGTACATACTAGATATAATTAAGTACCTAATATATAATGAAAGTGGTAAAGAAAAAATAAAGGAAGGAATACCAGAGATGTGAAAAGATCAATGAATAGTGGGTAAGGTGAGGAAAAGGGGAAATCCAAAATGGTGCCTAGATTTTTTAATCTGAGTTAATGGCAAAATATTTGAGACAGGCTTAGAAATAGTTAAAAGGAGGAGGTGGTTTCAATTTTTGGTTATGTTTCATTTGAAGTGGGTTGGGAAAATTCACACTGAAATTTTCAAGTGATGTCTGTAAATACAGATTTGGATGGAGATACATATAGGAAGCCATTTAGATAACATCCTTTTATAAAAAGATAAGTGGACTTTAACTTTGAACCTGAGAAATCCTCAAAGAGAACACAAAATTAGTGATATACAAGTAGAAAGGTTTGTCTTGAAGAAGGAGTAAAAGAGTACTGATACGGAACTGTTGTCTCTCATGGTATGAACAGAAAAAAAAGTTGGTAGAAGTGACCTACTCTCTGGGAGGTTGTAGTGCTTTATATGTGCCTACAGCAGATGATGGTGTGTGCAAGACTACGTGCAGTCCAATGTGTTGTCCTCATCTTCTGGACCCCTCTCTCCAAGCTGTCATGAGTAAAGTGGAAGATTGGTCAGATTGAAAAAAAAAAAGAGAGAAGAAGGGTCTGTTGTATATGCAGAGATGCAACCGTGCAGAGGAAGTGCAGCAGAGGGTGGGGAAACTAACATTAACTGAGTCATCAATTTTGTCCAAGCACAGGGACTGGTGTTTCGCATACATTATTTCACCTAAGTTCATGTTTGATGACTGTGAGGATATTTTGGTGTGTCCTATGTCAATGGTAGAATCAAGGCCAGTAAAAACTGGAATGTGTTTCAAATCATCATTGTGCAAGGTAGCTTAAAAAATGAGAGACACTCCTTCCTTAGAAAACTACTGTCATCTATTTCAAACAGAAAGGTAAAAAGTGTTACTTTCTGGTGCTATTTTGTAACCCATAACTGTTTTCTTTTTTTCTATTTTTAGGTTTGGAGATGTCTCTTTGCAAGAAAGTATTAATCAAGAAAATTTTGAACTTCTGAAAGAATATTACAAGATATTTATGGAAAAGATGCCTCCTGATTGTAAGTATGCAAGTCACAGAAAACAGCAACAATAATTTCTTGGTTATAAATCTTCAGAAGGGGTCTAACAGACCAATGGAGTAAAGAAGCATGAGGTGGGGATGTGAGCATGATTTTGATATTATCTGAACCAAAAGACTGATTGCCAAGGTGGCATGGCCAACACCTGCCTCATTATCTTGATTGCACTCTTGAATGTGTACTGCTGTTCATTCTGGAACATTAATTTCAGTGCCATTGGAAACTGTCAAATATTAAAAATATGGAACTTTTAATTAGAAATTTCAATTAATTCAATAAAAATGTATCATTTTTAACCATATAAAAGCCTTTAGTAAAGATTTAAGTCTCCATATATAAGATACATCAGAAATATCATACATATTTAAGGAGACAATCAGGTAGAATAAAAGTATAACTTTGTATAAAAAGTAATATTAAGTCACATGAATGAAGAAACCAATTTTTTAAATATACTTATTGTAATATTTTATTCAAAAAAATTAAGGCCTAGAGAAATGTGTTTTACAGTTTCAAAAATTTTTTTTGTCATTGTGCAGTTCTGCTTTTCTTTTTTCCACAATATTAAGCAATTAAGCACATTACATTTGAGCAGTCCAAAATCTGAGAATTAGGAATGTATGTGGAGTTCTATAAATGGTACAAATATGTTGAAATATTTAGGTATTCATAATGATAAAAAACTAAGTTTTTGTAACATAGAAAATACTGTAATATTTTAAATCAAAAGTTATAATCAAGGTCTACTTGTTACCACTTGTTGTCTAATCATGGGTAATTTGCTCTCTGGTTTATACTGTGATACTTAGTATAAAGTATCATATCTTAGGTGGCAGAGTATTTAGGTCTTTTCATAACCTAGTGAATGTTGTATCAAAATACTCTAATGTCAGATGTATGCCCATGTATAGATAATTAGAAAATGTCACCTGCAGTTTTTAAATTATGCTTTATATTATTATATTGCACACCAAATATTATTTTTCACCAAAATAAAATTATTTGGAGATTCTTTAGATGTCAGCATACTTTGAATTTGTTAATTAACTGAAAAGTTAATAACATAAACAAAACTATTTTCTTTGGTAATTAATGAAAAGCAGCTCATTATAACTTGGATATTGGTGATTTTTTTTTAAATAAGTTACTTATAATTTGGCAGTGTGGCAGTCATTAGTACTTTTCTTTTCTTCTTGCTCTGATTTTCCCATTGGATTTGATAACCTCAGATGTTTTGAAGTCTCCCTTCATGTCCACCTAAAGCATTAAGACACTTAAATTTTGTGTTAGAAATAAAACAAAGTGAAATAGCACATCTGTAAATCACTGGTACAAACTGCTATGTGTTTTAAAGTTGCCATCACATCTCGTATGTGATTTGGAGCTCCTGACTTTGGTAGAAAGAGTGAGCAAATAAAGCACTTCTGTTTTCCTCTCCCCCTAAGGGAGGAGGGATCAACCATCAATGTATTACATGTAAAATCTGTCCTTTATCTAATAATAATGCCCATATCTTTTATATTTTATTCAAAACGAAGAGGAAGGATATTGCCATACTGGTCTATTGGAATAGTATCACTTACTGACTCTTCTGTTAGCACTATAAATGTGGGTTGTCTAGCACCGTGTGCTAAGAAGGAAAAGCAAGTGGGTTTATTGTTCTAAACTTTTTCTACAGTATTTAACATCCCTGTGTTATGTATATTATTTCATCAAGTACAGCAATAAAAATTGCACGCAAAATACTTTTTAGAAAAAAAAATCTTAGGTTTGTAATGAAGATAAGTAGAATGTTGTCTGTGTGTGTATGTGTGTATGTACACTTTTTACTGGAAGCCTCACATTCAATTTATCAGACATCGGTGGAGAACATACTATGTGCAAACTTCTGTGCTAATCACTATGGATAATGAAAGATGAGTAAGATATGGCCTGTGCCTCTAGTAGCTTACAATTTAATGACTCAATGCAATCAAGGAATAATCTATATTGACTCTAAATGTTTTTCCAGAATAATAGCTGGTATTTTGGAGTGTTGATCCTTTTTGCTGAATAATTTAGTGTTTTTGTTGATGTTCAAAAGTTTTACTTTCTTACTCTTGATCATTTGTGACATTTGTTGTATGGTTATGCATTGTCACAGATTTTATTTTTGCACTAGGAAAAATAAGACATCTTATTCATTCTTCCCACTTGCAAAAATAGGAAAATAGGATAAGAATCTAATATTTTATGGATTGTGAATTTAAAAGGAACTATTTAAATAGTTTTCTATGTAGTCCACACAGAAAATATACATTATAGGAGAAGATCTATAAATATAAAGAAAGGAGGCCTAAGGAACAAAATAAATATAAAAAATTATTCACGATTGAGGCAAATAAGATAAATGAGAAGAATACTGTCCAGGGGGAGGTGAGCAAGAATACCATATGTGTTGATGAAGAAAGAAGAATGAAGATTAAAGAGAATCTGTTTGATTTAGTGGTTATAAATAATTGATGATATTTGATGGAGTCGTTTTAATTAAAAGCATGGAATGAAACCGTATTACAGGCATTTAAGGACAGAATATGTGTTATATAATTAGAGAGACAAAATGAAAGCCACTCCCTTAGGAAAATGAACAGTGAATACAAAGAGAGAAATGAAAAAAAAGAAAAATAGGCCAAAGGCAATGGAATCTAGTGAGAGAGTTCTTCCCTGATTCTCTTTGCTTTTCTAAGGTGGGAAGTCAATACCTGGTTAAAGAATGCTGGAGATTTCAGGGGGGCAGCTGTGGGTGTAGGACCTACTCTTGAAAAGTTCCAGAGAAGGTAACAATGATCAGCCTCCGGGAATGAGCCAGAAAGCCAACAAGGAGCCCCAAGAAAGCGGAGGACTAGGCCTCCCATATGATACAGAGACTGAACATTATTTGACAGAGGGAAGAATAATATTCTGCCTTGTAGGAAAAAAATAAAAATAAAAAACAAAGCCCACCACACCTGGTTGAGGTCCCTTTAACTAAAACCTGGAGAATTCTGGCAAAATGTCACACATAACTCTTTAAGGTTGATAAAAGATTTTGAAAGTGTCCAAGGGTAGTTTGGGGTTGGCCTTCAGACCCCTGCTGGTCCAACACTGCTCTCACATCTCCGAACGCCCTCGGGTGGCTTCAGAGGAAAGAGCTTCAAAACAAGATTTCATTCACATCCTTTTTACTTTAAACGTCAGATCAATCATGATTTTCCCTGATAGCCTGTTAAATTATTTCAGCATAATTATTAAAATATAATTCTTAAATATGATGCATAAAGGCTGTGCATGCGTGTCAAGAACTCTGATATTCAGTTGTACCAAACTAACATTTAGTTAACAGGCTGCAATTTATTTAAGCTAAAGTATTCTGTGCCCTGTGAACTTATATTTTCATAAGCATTTCCCATTTTTAGTGTTTCAAGTTATCTTAAGTCTCATTTAAAAGTAGATTAATGGAGCAAAACTGGTTCAATTCAGCATAAAATAATGAAAATTATAATAAATATTGAAACTCAAAATAACGTGAAATTTATAAAAAGTAAAAGGACTTCATTGGGACAAGTAAACCTGTGAATGACAGGATTTCCCAGAAGCAGGTGAAAAACAAGAGCTTAACTATAAATACAATGTGAGATATCTAAAATTGGATTTAGTTAGATCAGAGTTAGTTAGATCACCCCTACTATCTAATACTTTGCCTTTTTAAAATATTGCCAAACAGCCATTGAAAATGCAGCAAGTTTTTTGAGCATAGGACAGAACTCTCTATTAAATCAAGATGATTTTTCCCAGAACAACTATATGATAATGCTTACCTGAATGAAATTATTGGATATTGTTTTCAAAAGGAATGAAAAGAACAGAGCTACTAAGGTATCATGCAGAATTATAGTCCATGTATGATAAACAGATTGATACACATGAGAGTATTGCTGAGAAAAGAAAACTACAACAGTTGTAACACATTGTGCTCTGGAAGACATAAGCACTAGGTCTTGCCAAACTTCTTTAGCACAGTGCCCTGTTGGACACTCCACACCGTTCAATGCCAGGGAGTGTGGAGAAGCGGTCATTATCTCATGCTAACAGGTATGTTTTAGTACAAAAGGGTAAAATCACTGAAGAACAGAGTATAAATTGGTATATAGGTGGTGCATCTATCAGAGAGAAAAGCTGCACATTTTCTCTGTTTAACAATAAAAATTAAACCTACTTAAATGGATATTTCCTTCAGCCACTGATTATTCTATGAGCTCTGTCACAGACCAGAAAATGTGCAATGAAATCAGTGCAGAGAGCACGAGCTCTGTGTGCCGCATGGATGGGCAGCGCTCCAGAAACTAAAAGGGTGTCTCTGAAACTGTCCACTTACTGCTATTTACTTAATATTGAAATCCTTGTGTGTCGATACTCACAGCGTTGCTTACTGCTGCCCTGGGTTTAAGCGTGCTGCGTCCAATTTCTCAGAACGTGGCTTGGTGGATATTTCTTGTCCCTGCTTTTCAGAGTCTTCTATTTTTAGAAACTACCGCCTATCTTGAGCCTGATTTCTCAAACTTGAACAAGCTCTAGAAATGACCTGAACTTATAAATGAGGAAATGAGGTGAGGCCAATAAATCAAGGGACATGAACAAACACATAGAAACACATACATAAACACACACACACACATACACCATCCCAAAAAAGGTCTTCAAACAATCTAAGTATTTCTGATTAGCAAACAGACTTTCTGACAGAGGTTAAATATCTCCCACTTTCCATAGTAAATTTCTAAGTTATTGATTATTTTCCTACACATGGTAATAATACTTGATTTCCTCTGAACAGTTCATGTTTATGTAGAGAGACCCTTTCTGAATGTTAGGAGAGCCTGTCAGCATTACAGTTCAGTGACACCAAAGGCTATCATTTTATTCTCTCAACTAAGGTGCAGCAGTGGGTGACAGAAAGCACT